CCCAAGAATGAAATATATGCAGCTTCAAAATTGTCTCGCACCCCAAGTTTTGATATGACAAGGTAAAGAAACTAACCTCAATTAGTTTTGAATCCTGGGCAATTATTTTTGATTTCAACTCCTCATCGTTTGAGAATTTCAACTTTGTTTCTTCCACATCCTTCTTGTTAAAATAAGCAAATGATTACTGTCATCAAGCTCCAGCTCACGTGAAGATTGGATTCAGTTTTGGCAAATGCTATTGTGCACCTGTGGTGCTTTGTTAAGTTGTTACAACAGTTTTGATTCTTGATTGTAATGCACATGTAATTGCCTTTTTTCTTTACTTGCTCCCTACTCGAGAATGTCTATTTATACACAAATGTAATACACTATGTAATCAATCAATATAAAATTTTGTTTGCAATCTTCATCATTTCATCATCTTAGCTCAGTTCTTAAAATTTAACTTCGTATCAGAGCCAAATAGCTAACACTGGATCCAATGACAACACCTAATCTACATAGCCAACCTCGAGCACACTGATGCCTCCAACATTGGAAGGAAATCAGATGCCATCACTTGGAATCAACCTCACTCAGGTTCCACCGGTAAAACTTGATAGGAACAACTTCTTGCTATGGAAAAACATGGTGATGCCCATCATTAAGGGTCACAATATCAAAGACTTTATCACATGAACGAAAATTTGCCCAACTGAATTTTCAGCAACACAAACCACAGGATCCGCTGGAGTAACTGTCGAAATGGTTCCTAATATTGAATATGGGAAATAGATGTTAACTGATCAACTTCTGATGGGATGGCTCTACTCATCAATAACCGCTGAGATTACCATGAGAGTGATGGGATCCAAAAGCTCTTGCGGTCTTTGGAATAATGTTCAAGAAAGTTTTGGTGTGATGAATAAGTCAAAAGTTATCTTCCTTATCGGTGAACTCCAAAGAACCAGGAAGGGTTCTATGAGCATTGATCAATACTTGAACACAATTAAACAACTGGCTGATAATCTCGAAATTGCAGGAGAAAATATTCCTCACAATGATCTTATTACACAAGTGTTGGTCAGATTGGATGAAGAATACACTTCCATAATTGTACAAATCAATAGCAGAGAGTTCATCTCTTGGCCTGAGTTGCAATCTATTTTGATGACTTTTGAGATTCGAATTGAGCATCTCAATACTAAGAGAAACAGCCTAGCCTCTGTCAATTTGAACCATACATCAGTAAATTTCGTGCACAAGTCAAGTTCCAATAGATGAGGTAGATCTAATTATGGAGGAAGAAGTTACAACAGTAGAGGAGGTAGGAGCAGATGAAGGATTAGGAGATCATCTGATGTCAAAGGACCATGTCAAATCTGTGGTATAAGCAATCACTCAGCAGAGAAGTGCTATAATCGATATGATGAGAGGTATATAGGTTCAAGGCCTGATCACTACTACCACAACAATTTTCCAAAGCCAGTAGCCTTCATAGCTTCTCCAAGTACTATAGCAGATCCTGCCTGGTCTGCAGACTCGGGAGCAAGTAATCATGTTACAGCTGAGAAGAAAAACCCGATTAATGCACATGAATATGGTGGTAAGGAGCATCTTACTGCTGGTGATGGTAATAAACTCCACATTTCTCATATTGGAATCATCTTAACACATTGAATCACAAATCACTGGTGCTCAGTAATGTACTGCTAGTACCTTCAATTAAAAAGAACTTGCTAAGTGTCTCTCAATTAACATCTGACAATGGTATGTTTATGGAATTTCACTCTGATTTCTGTGTTGTTAAGGACAAACAAACGAATGAGGTGTTGCTGGAAGGGAAGCTTAAGGATGTACTTTATCAACTTGAGCATCTGGATCAAGCCAAAAAGCCTTTCTGTCAAGAGTCAATTCATTTAAATAAGTCACACCAATCAATCTTTACTGTTAAATCAAATGTTCCCAAAACTACCAGTGAGTATATGAGCAGGCTGAAACAATGGCATATGAGACTTGGACATCCACAACATCAGTGATGTCTCAAGTGCTTAAGTCTTGTAATGAAAATCTTGATGCTAATAAAATCACTCATTTATGTGATGCCTGCCATCTTGGTAAATCACATTCACTGCCATTCAAATTGTCCGCTTCTCATGCTTTAGCCCATCTTGATTTAATTCATACAGACGTTTGGGGGCCTGCACCCACAATTTCGACTTCTGGTTTCAGATATTATATCATATTCATTGATGACTATAGCATGTATACATGGATCTTTCCCATGAAAAATAAATCTGAAGCTTTAAATCTATTTATTCAGTTCAAAAACCTGGTTGAGAGCAAGTTTGATAGGAAAATCAAAGCTCTCCAATCTGATTGGGGAAGGAGAATTTAGAGCATTCACTGATTTAGCTCAAAAATCAGGCATTGACATGCATCTCTCTTGTCCTTACACCTCAACCTAAAATGGTAGAGCTGAGAGGAAACATAGGCACATAATAGAAATCAGTTTAACTCTACTTGCTCAAGCTAGCATGCCTTTACACTATTGGTGGGAATTATTTCACACAACCACTTACCTTATCAATAAGCTGCCTACACCAGTTCTCAAAATGAAAGCACACTGTCAAGTTCTAAATAACGAACAAATTGAATAAATTGAATACAAGTCACCGAAATTTTTTTTGTTGTGCTTATTTTCCTTGCCTCAGACCATACCAAGAACATAAACTTAGTTTTCACTCCATTAAGTATGTGTTCCTTGGCTTTAACAACTCTTACAGAGGCTATAAGTGTCTCAGTCCAACATGTAAAGTATATATATCTAGGCATGTAGTTTTTAATGAGAGTGAGTTTCCATTCCAGTCTGGCTTTCTTAATAAAAGAACTAATTCTCAAACATCTGAAACTATCATTCACTATCTAGCTTTCTGTGCTCCTTCAAATCATAACCAAACCTGCTCAACTGATGAAGTACACCCTGATGCAACTCCAACAGCAGCACCTTCTGTGCTTAATCAACAAGGACTAGCTGATGGTAACACAGAAACAAATATTGAAGGCACACAAGTGATAAATGAAGAAGGGATTGTAAATACTCAAGTTGACCAAACTGAAGTCAATGATGGACTGAATATGAGTATGGAAACATGGAGGAATCACTTTACAGATAAGGGAAACCAAACTATAGAGCATCCTATGATTACCAGGAGTAAAGCTGGCATATTCAAACCTAAAGTCTATTCGATTCAGCAAAGAATACAGCATGGAACACAGCATGCTGGAGCCCAACAATGCACTTGAGGCTCTGTCAAATAAAGACTGGCGAAAAGCAATGGAAGAAGAATACCAAGCACTGATGAGAAATAAAACTTGGGAACTAGTACCACATCTGATCAATCAAAAGGTTATTGGAAATAAATGGGTTTTCAGACTGAAACGTGATATTGAGGGCAGAATACTAAAGCACAAGGCAAGACTGGTAGCCAAAGGCTTCTTGTAAATATCAGGAGTTGACTACCATGAAACCTCCAACCCAGTTATAAAGGCCTCCACTTTAAGGATAATTCTTACTCTTGTAGTGTCCAAGGGATGGAGTATTATGCAAGTTGATATCAACAATACCTTTCTGAATGAGAAATTGGATGAAGAGGTGTTTATAAGGCAGCTAGAAGGTTTCATTGATAAAGCAAATCCTACCTTCGTTTGTAAGCTAAAAAGGGTTCTTTATGGACTCAAACAAGCACCTAGAACTTGGTATGAAAAAACTGAAGAGAACTCTTCTTGAATGGAATTTTTCGAATTCAAGGGCAGACAGCTCTCTATTCTTTTACATGGATCAAAAATAAGTCATTTTTGCCTTAGTTTACTTTAATGATATTGTGGTTACAGACAATGATCAGAAGACATTACAGCACTTCATTGACAACTTGAATACTGAGTTTGCCTTGAAGGATATGGGTGGACTTCATCACTTTTTGGGAATTGAAGTAAAGAGAAATGACTTAAGCTTGCATTTCACTCAGATCAAGTACACGAAAAACATGCTGAAAAAATTCAATCTTGAAAACCTTAAACCGTATGCTACTTCTATGACAATTGGCAAGGTTATCTCCAAGAATGAATGTGAAAAGATGGCAAATCCTCCTCTTTATCGAAGTGTAATTTGAGGACTACAATACTTAGCACAAACACGCCCTAATATAACTTTTGATGTCAACAAAATGAGTCAATTTTTGCAAGCACCTTCAGATGTTCACTGGAAAGCAGTTAAGAGAATCTTCAGATATTTGAAAGGGACCATTGAGCAAGGATTATGGATTCAAATGAGTGATAGAATATATATCACAGGTTTTGCTGATGCAGATTGGGCATCAACAATTGGCTACTGTGTTTACTTATGAGATACCCTGGTAGCTTGGTCCTCGAAGAAACAACAAGTCGTGGCTATGTCAAACACTGAATCAGAATATAGGGCCTTGGCACAAGTAGCTGCTGAGATTACCTGGATTGAATCCTTGCTAAAAGAAATCAAGTTAAGCCCATCTTCACTTCCTATACTTTGGTGTGATAACTTAAGGGCAAGCGCTTTGGCTTCAAATCCAGTTTAGCATGCTATAACTAAGCATATTGAATTGGATATACATTTTGTAAGAGATAAGATTCTTAAAGGAAAGTTGAAAATTCAATATATCAGATAGCAGATTTGCTAACTAAAAAGCTTTCACAAACCAGATTCCTTTCTCTTAAGAACAAGCTAGGAGTTAAGGGATAAACTCCAGGTTGAGAAGGGATGTTAAAATAAGCAAATCATTACTGTCATCAAGCTCCAACTCACGTGAAGATTGGATTCAGTTTTGGAGTTAATTGCCTTTTTTCTTTATTTGCTCCCTACTCCAGAATGTCTATTTATACACAAATGTAATACACAATGTAATCAATCAATATGCAATCATCAATACAAAATTCTGTTTGCAATCTTCATCAGTTCATCATCTTAGCTCAGTCCTCAAAATTTAACTCTTCACTTGTCTTGATTCCTCGTACTTGTCTGGCATAAAATCTTCGTCCTTGTCCGGTTTAAGCTTAGCGTTCTTAGTGAGGACAGACTTCACATTTTCCACAACATTAGGAAATATAAGCTCTTCCGTGTTTGTGATAATCTTGGCATCCTCAACGTTTTTAACTAGCTGAACCAAAGAGAGTGAACTTTACTATTGGTCAGGTCAATAAGGGGAAGGTTCTGCAATATAATCAGAGATGTTCGATATAGAAAAATAGTTATCGAGTTCAGACTTTGGAGTAATAATGTATTCGAAATTATACTTTAAAATTCCTATAATTTCACTAACATATATGAAAACTAGAGCAGTGAGGTGAACATGTCAGTACAGCTGAATGACCTGATATCAAACAACCAATAGCACAATCTCAAGTAACAAAACAATTATCGAGGAGTTTTCATCAACTGCTGGCAGCATACAAGAAGTGAAAGCATCCTGAATGTTGGCACTTGGCATCGATCACATAATGCTAAAGCAAAAATTATGCTAAAATCTCTCACCGTCTGGGGAGGGGGTAACTGTTCGACTCTGCTCTGAAATTTTTCTTTCAAGATTGAAGAGTCGTTTGATGGTTCTTGCTTCAAAATTCCATTAACGGGCAGCAACATGGGAGAATGGGCTGGGCCAGTAAGAAAATCCTGAAGCTTTCTCTCTTCAATATATTTATGACCGTCTTTTGCAAACTACCACAAGAAGATCAGTTTTTGAAACACAAGAATGAAAGCCAGATTATTATTATCAATCAGCTTTAGAGCAATCATACCATGCCGATGTAATCTCCTCTTCTGTTGTACCATACGGCACAATGGTATCCTGAATCAGGAATTTATCCTTCCATTCCATATAATCAGGAGCAGATTTCTGTGCTTGCATGGTAACTACATCACCAAGAAGATAAATGTAACATAGTATTTAAAATCCAAAGGATCGTATTACAAATAGTCAAAGAAGCTGCGAAGCTACATGCTAAACATCTGATTTTAAGAGCTTATTTGGGAGAGATTTTAATCCAATTAAAATCGAAAATATAACCGTTATTGGGTCCCACTCATCTAATAAAAGTCAACAATAACGACTAATTTTTCAATTTTAATCCGATTTTAATCTCTATCAAACAAGCTCTAATAACCAAAATGTTAAGAGGCCGATAGCCCATCGGTACCAATACCTAGAATTTGCAGAAAACAAATAGTGCTTAATTTGCCCAGGGCACATGTGATGAATGACAATGATGCAACATGAAATAATTGATAAAAAATTAGTGTTCAAAATTATTAGCCAAGTGCTGTTATAGAAAGCAACTACATTAAACAAGTTATTTATGGAGATATAGCATGAAATTGGACGGTATACAACAAGGAACACACTTAAATACTTGTAAAATCACATGTTGAATTTGGCTTGATTATGCCTACATTAGGTCACACACAGTACTTCTTGGGTAATGTAGTCTTCACCTGCCAAATAAATTGGATGGAAATAGATGTAAATGATGGTTTGCACAATCAAATGTTTAATTAAGGATGAAAATATCAAAAAAATAATAATGAAATGTATGGACGTTTTTCACAATAATGGTGAAAGATATGGACATTATATACTAAATACCCTTTTAATAATTTATTTGTGACTTGTTTGCTTTTTTTAAAAAAACTGGGACTATGATTTCAATTAGTTTTTTTCTTTTTGTTTTATTTAAAGAGAGGGGTATATTCGTCATTTCATAATTATTAATTGAGAAAATAGGTGAAAATGACCTTTGAGCAATGAATGGTGGAAATAATGGTGAAAACAGGGCCGGCCCTGAGAATTTAGAGGCCCTAGGCGACTAATTATTATGAAACCCTTCAGTATAATCATTTTTTTACAAGTGTAGCAAAATTTAAATATTTAAATAATTAAGACGTTTATATTAAAAAGAAGACTTTATATAATTCAAAAGATAGAGTGGCAAACTAAAACTTCTCTCACAACCCGAGAGATTAGGCGAGCATAAGATTTGACCTTCTCACATTTTGAGATGTAAAATCATTAATCAAATTACTAAAATCAAGTTTTTCCAACATATTTGTTTCAATATAAATCATAGTTAATCCATTCGATCGATTTTGTGACATGGTTGATCGAATCGGGTTTTTGCTTCTATTCAAGTGGATGAATGTCAATATGCTATATTAGTTATCTGATATTCTCATGTAGTGTCTTTATGTATAACACTTAACGGGACAATTCATCCTTCAAGAATAAAATCAAGATACATGCTCTCCAAAATTTTCAAGAATCTTTTTCCTACAACAACCAGATTGAGATTCTTCACAGTATTCAACCATCTAGATGTATTATATGGCTCACATCAAAATGGAATCCATGGAAAATGGAGTAAAGGCCCATCATTATGAAAAAGCAAGAAATTTACCCGGTGGAAATCAGCCAGGGACTTCTTGGGAGGGCTCCTCTTGCAAGCTTGAGGACTGCAACTTCTTGCTCTCAGTTTTGGAATATTATTACAGGGACGGAAGAACCAATAATCTGGACACAATAAAAGTTCAAGCAAAAATTACTAAAATAAAAACTCGTAATATTCTATCCAATTTTGGGAAATCATTAATGATTAGAATTCTAAACAAACATTTTTAATAAAAATCGCCAGGACCATTCATCCTTCAAGAATAAAATACCTGCTCCCCAAAAGGCTCAAGAATCTGGTGAGAGACTGTTGGAAAAATTGAGAAGAAGATGTAAAGAAAGGGGAACAATACACAATTCTTGTTTTAAAGATCACATTTCATAAATAACAAACTTTAAAAGAAAATTTCAAAAATCAGGTGTTAAATCAATTTGTTAAATATTTTTAATTATAATATAATACAATTATCCCAATTTATTAAATTTCAAATGCAAATCATTTTCTCTCTCTACTCTCTATCCTCTCCCTACCCCTTCTACTCCGGTCATCTACTCCGGCGGCCTCTCCGACGACTGTTCTGACTGCTCCAATTTTCAAAAAAAAAAAATTCAGAATTTCAAGTCATAATCGGTTGCAATTGGTCACAACGAGTCACAATTAACCAGTCACAATCGGTCACAAACGGTTACAAACATGTCACAAACGGTCACAACCAACACATATTTGATCAAAATCTCATCCCGTGCCACCAAATTCAAATAAATTTTCGTTGAGATCAAAATCAGGTGGGTTGTGGTTGATTGTGGTTAACACCTGTAGCACCACCATCACCATTAGAACCACTACCACAACCACCATTGCAAACAAATCACACAGAAAAACACCACCACCACTACGTCACACCAGATCCACCACCACCACACACTACTGAACAAATTGTGAGTCACCACAACCTCACCAACACCGAAATCATTGTTCCCTTTATATGAGAAAATTACCTGATTCCCTACTTTTGGAGAAATCAGCATTCAAAAAAACTGCTTCAAAATGCAAAAACTGCCGGAATAACGCCGTCCGGCGAGACCCATGGTCGGAGACACCTACTGGCCACTTCCCCACACCTAGACAAGTCTTTCCATGTTGGTAATTCATCCCTAACAACTCCCAAGCAAATTGAATTGAACTTGACAAATCGTCCAGTCGCGAAGCTCGTGATTTCGCCTGCGAAAAGCCCCAATTCCGACGCAGTCGCTGCACCCATGGAAGCGGACCACATGGGCTAGGTTCGCCCTCACCTGGCGTACCTAGCTCAGTAATAGGTCTCCATCAATTTAACTCCAAGCAACCTGAATTTGATTCTGAAATTCTCGAAGGGGTGAGCACAGAATCTGATTTCTGTCGATTCAGGCACCGTCCGGCCAAACCAAGGTGGCAGACCACCTAGGTTAGCGCCCCCACACTCTGGGCAACCCAACTCTGGAGAGAGGTACAGAGGAGAGGAGAGCAGCGAGAGAGAGAGAGAGAGGGGAGAGGTAGAGAGAGAACGAGTTTTGGTGGGAAATGAGAGAGAGGTCGGATTGATTTCTGAATTAATTGAATTAATAATATATTAATTAAAACACCTGATTTTTGAAAGATTAAACTTATCGCCTCATTTTTGAATATGAATTTTGAAAATTAGGGTTTGTGGTAATTTTCTCTAAAGAAATTTAAGGGGTTTTTGATTGGGGCATCTTTGGGCTTTTTTTAGAGGCCCTTAAAATTTTGAGGCCCAAGGCAGTGGCCTTACTTGCCTTGGGCCAGGGCCGGCCCTGGGTGAAAATGTCAAAAAATGAAAGGTATAGGCGTTTTCCATAATAACAATAAAAATGTGAGAACGTTATGTGCTAATTACCTTATCTTTTGCCCACTCATATTCAAAATTTGGTAGGGGTGGCAAAGTGGGGAAAACAAGGACAGATTGAGCTAAGTGGGCTAAAATAAAGAATGTTGGGGGTGCTTGATACACATTATTATGGGAAGAATGTATTTTAAATAGTAATGTGATGGAAAATATGTGGTTAAAAAATAAGGAAAATTTTTGGATGTGATGGAAAATATTATTTTATTAAAAAATGTAATTTGAAATGAGTTTTGAAATAATGAATTTTTTTAGAATGTTGATCAAACATGGCCGAAATTATAAATCATTTCCTACATTTTTTCTTGAAGCCACCAGCGAGACGAGCAGAGATTTGGCTGTGCCGGCTAGCTCATGAGTCAGGCAAGCTAGCTCGCCTTAAACTTGTTCGCTTGTGTGCACATCGACTCGCCAAATCTAGAAATACATGCAATTTTTTTAAAAAAAAAAAAAAGAGAAAGAGAAGAAGAAAAAATATGGTGAGCCGAACCTATGGTAGGCGAGTGGAGCGGTTCAACTCATAGTTATCAGACTCGACCCGTTCATCGACTTGAAAAAATCATTGGGTCACCGGGTCATGGTTCAACCGGTGGGTCAGTGGTTTAATCGATGGGTCATTGTTATGTTATAATTTTAATTAAAAAAATATTTTTTTAAAAAAAGGAGAACAATTTTTCTAAATATAAAATATATATGTTAGTTCACAATTGAAACACAACTTCAAATGTTGCCATGTTCAGGTTGTGATATTTCACTTCAAACGCCAAGGTTTGACTAGAAGATTATTATTATTATTATTATTATTATTATTATTATTATTATTATTATTATTACAGTTTAGTATTTGATTTAGACTAAAAATGTTGTGAAGGAAGCATATTTGGACCGTTTACTGCATTAGTTAAACAAGAATGAGTACCCACTTGCCAACCCAATTTTAAAAATCAAAGTTAACGCTACGTTTGGGGCTAAGCTCACAATTTCTACTTATAAGTTTTGTTGATTAAAGCTAAAAATATATAAATTACTTATTTTACATTCTAAAAATTGTTATGAAACGGATCATAAGATAATGGTAATAAGGAAATAATGAAGAAGAAAATAAGAATACAAGAATTTACGTGGAAACCCAATTCGAGAAAAAACCACGGCTAGATGAGAACAATCAACTATAATTAATAGTTTTGTATTTATAGTATCAAGATTCCAATAATCTCAATTGAAATTTAAGTTCTCAATCTCTGAATATGTTGTTGAATGTGCAGGAATATAATGAGAATGTTACAATATGGAGATATATAAAAACCCTTTTATTAGAGTCCAAAATGGAGAAGAAGTCCCAAAATCCGAATAAAACGAAAAAATCGCAAACATCAAGTTACCGGTAGCGCGTAGGTACTACCATCACGGCGCCTAGGCGCCCGAAATTGAAGCAAGAAGAAAACGAAGGCAGGGACTGGCGCTTGGGCGCTAGGCACATGGCGCCTAGGAGCCGTGATGGTAGTGCCTAAGCGCTAGGTCTCTGGTTAACATTCTAAAACATGATTTTTTTCCATACAGAGTCAT